CCCAATGTCCACCCTCATCATTCCCTGGGGATCTTGCTGCTCCCCTCCCCTGCTGTTCCACTGGACTGTGGCTGTTCTTAGAGAGAATTCCATGTAGTCACTCAGCCCAGACCCTCAAGCTCTGGTTCTCTGACATGGCTGCATTTGGAGATGCTCAAGAGGAAGCCTATAAGGGGAAACACTTAGACCTGGAATCTATATTCTTCCAAGTACTGTACTGGTCTTGTTGGTACAGGCAGTCCCCGATGTAGCAGACCATTGTTACTGGTGGATCTACTGACACTGCAGAAATGATGCTGGTGTACAGAGAGGTTTGGTCATATAAAGGGGAACAGTACCCTTCAGGGGGCCTCCTTGCATATATGGTAAATTGTCTATTCCTGTCTTGTGGTCATTTTTGATTGGGTTACTTGTATTTTTCTTATTAGGATGTAGTTTTCTACAAATTGTGGAGATTAACCTTTTATCGGATGTATTATTACTATAAATATTGTGCATTTGTGTGTCTATATATTTGCACATCTGAACAAGTCGTTTATCACAGGAACCACACTAACAGTTGAAACTTGGACTTGGCACGCATGACTAAATTCAATCTGAATTTTTCATCTTGGTATGCCATTCACAGATTAGCTGGGTCGGTGATGGTTTAACAAACATTGTTAGTAGGTAAGGAGTTCTGGTGGTGTCGTGGGTTAAGAGTTGGGCTGCTAACATCAGCTGTCCCCAAATTGCTTGGAAATCCTAAGGAGCAATTCTACTCTGTCCTATAGGATCACCAGTGCCTGGGCATGCCTGGCCCTGGGTTTGGTCGGGCTGAATACAGAGTCTAAATGTGAACTCTCTCTAATCTCAAAAGTCCGAAATGTCCCCCCTCGCGTCTGTAACAGTCACACTTCCCCAGGTCCATTCGGTGTGCGCGTCCCATGGCCGCCGTCGCGGAAGGGGCTCCTCGCTGCCCCGGCGGAACGGCCCGGGGCCTCGCAGGTCGCGGGGAAGGGCCCAGCGACACAGACAGGTGGCTGCACTGAAAACAATCAAGTTGGCGTCCAGTAACTTCACAGAGATGGGCACGCGCCCTTCCTCAAAGTCAAGGGGAACGCCGACAGCCATCCCTTGCAGGATATCCGAAATGCTGGCAGAGGAGGAGGGCATGGGGAGTGCGGGTGCTTCCGCGCCGGGGCTGAGCGGGCGGCCAGCAGAGCCCCAGCCGGCGCGGCCCCCTGCGCTCGCCGCCCGCCCATCCCTCCCC